TTTTTACTTTTGTTGCGTACACTGGCCCCTACCCTCTGTGTCCACACTCTATTCCCACTGCTAGAAAGAATAAGGGAGTCACACAAATGAGGGACGTGACAAAAACCGAGCTTTTTCACCTTAGCTTGCTTGCTTCATTCATGCACATGTTGACTCCCTATGATACTGACCATAACATCTGGGTGACTTTTTAAACAATTCTACATAAATACCCACACATACCCTATCCTGCTGTGCTTATCCAAAATTTAGATGATCTAAAATTTTCAACTTCTTCCTTGTCTAAAGCAACTGATGTCCTTTTTTATTTCATTTTACTTTACTTTACATTGATTGATTGATTCATTGATTGATTGATTGAGATGGAGTCTCACACTGTTGCCCAGGCTGGAGTGCAGTGGTGCAATCTCTGTCCCCTGGGTTCAAGCAATTCTCCTACCTCAACCTCCCTAATAGCTGGGATTACAGGTGTGCGCTATCACGCCCAGCTAATTTTTGTATTTTTAGAAGAGGCCGTGTTTCACCATGTTAGCCAGGCTGGTCTTGAACTCCTGACCTCAGGTGATCCACCTGCCTCAGCCTCCCAAAGTGCTGGGATTACAGGCATGAGTCACTGCACCTGGTCATACTTTTATATGTTAAGTTAGAAATATAACAAGGCATAACAACTTTGCAGAGTTTAATGGCTCTAATAGTAACTTCAGTAATTTACTAATACATATAATAAAAGTTGCTACAAATGGGACCCTTTTCCTAAATGAAAAATGGAAAATTGATGGAAAGTTAGATCTACATATTTAATGTGGAAGCAATAAAACTTTGAAAAGTGTTATGATTTTAGTGAGAAGGCTCATTTTCTTTTTTTTTTTTTTTTTTTTTTGAGACAGAGTTTCGCTCTTGTTACCCAGGCTGGAGTGCAATGGCGTGATCTCGGCTCACCGCAACCTCCGCCTCCTGGGTTCAGGCAATTCTCCTGCCTCAGCCTCCTGAGTAGCTGGGATTACAGGCACGCGCCACCATGCCCAGCTAATTTTTTGTATTTTTATAGAGATGGGGTTTCACCATGTTGACCAGGATGGTCTCGATCTCTCGACCTTGTGATCCACCCGCCTCGGCCTCCCAAAGTGCTGGGATTACAGGCGTAAGCCACAGCGCCCAGTGAGAAGGCTCATTTTCTACTGAAAAAATAATTATGAGTATAATCATTTTTAAATATTTAAAAGTAAGTGGAAAAAAAAGCAATGAGCTCCACTAGCATTAAAAAAAAATGAAATGCAAGCTAACACGTTATAGAATGATAGTATAGACAAATACTCATGGGAATGCTTTCAAGTGAGAGCAAGTGATAAGACTGCAACCAATTCAGGAAGATGATTAGCAGTCTCAGAAGGTTAGAAACTGGTTTATCAAGCTGGAACATTATGGATCGAATTTTTTTAATATCAAAAGCACTACCTGCTAATTTACTGAGGATCAACTCTCTGCTCTAACGTGAAGAATACAAGAGGATGAGCATGACGGCAAACCCGAGCCGGGCGCGGTGGCTCACACTTGTAGTCCTAGCACTTGGGGAGGCTGAGGGGCAGACTGCCTGAGCTCAGGAGTTCAAGACCAGCCTGGACAACACAGTGAAAGCCCATCTCTATGAAAATACACACACAAAAAAAATTGGCCAGGCATGGTGGCATGGGCTTGTAGTCCCAGCTACTCAGAAGCTGAGGCAGGGGAATTGCTTGAGCCTGGGAGGCGAGCAGTGAGCTGAAACCACACCACTGCACTCCAGCCAGGGAGACAGAGTGGACTTTGACTCAAAAAGAAAGAGAGAGAGAGAGAGAGAGAGAGAGAGAGAGAGAGCGCGCGCAAATCCAGTGACCTTTCAATCTTTAAAAGTATAGTCCCATTTGAAGAAAACATTAAATACATGAGAGGGAAAATTCAAATAATATACATAAAAAATTTTACCTAAAGGCTAGTTATATGGTTACCTAAAGCAAATTTTTAAAATTTAAAATTGTAAACATTAAAAAACTTTTAAATATTTTTAAATTAATTTTTTATTAATGTGTAGCAACAAAAACTAATAACTTTAAAACAAAGCAAATATTTATTGAGTGCAGTCAGTCGTCTGTACCCATGTGTGTGAGCAATATCTAAAGACTGAACCAATTAATTCAAAGTATTTGGAAGAAAAAAAACACTTAAAAATAATGCAACAATTAAAAGAAATCAAATTTTTAAACTACAGTATAACAACTATTTATGTAGCATTTACATTGTATTAAGTATTACTGGTAATCTAAAGATGATTTACGGTATATGGAAAAAAGTCACCAGGTTATATGCAAATACCATACCATTTTATATGAGGTACTGGAGTATGCACAGATTTTGTATCTGAGGAGGTCCCAGAGCTAATCCCCTGCAGACACCGCGGGACAGCTGTACTCACTTTGTGCTAAACACTGAACATGAAGATAATACTGTAACGATAACTGAAACACATTCAGCACCCAAGGAGCTTACAATGTAGTGGAAGACATAAATGACACAGTCTGTGAAGAGCCATAATCAGGATATGCAGAGAATGTTGTGGACACACTTCAGAGGGAGGGATAGATTTAGCCTGGCTGTGGAGGGAGAAACAAGCAGACATGCCAAGAAAGAAGCACACAGCAGAGTGCAGAAGGTTCACCCATGAGGTGAATGGGGAAGGACAGACATGCCGGGAAAACCCTTCAGCCTGCAGGAAGGCCTGCAGTCAAGACAAATCAGAATCTGGAGTCTGAGAATTTCAAGCCGTTCAGGAAGACTGAATACAGGAGTGTCAGTGGGAAGGGACAAAATAAAGAAGAACACAGGGACTAGACAAATCAAGTTAAAAACAGACACTCAGTAGGCCAAATACATACCCAGAAAGTTATCGTGCAGAGACCTAATGGATTCTAACCTAACAGAGTTTCACAGACCCTGAAATACTAACATTTAAAAGGAATGTGTCTAGCCAAAAGCCCTGCATAAACACACACAAAATGGGCATTTTTTAGCCAGGCGTGGTGGCTCACGCCTGTAATCCCAGCACTTTGGGTGGCTGAGGCTGATAGACTCCCTCAGCTGAGCTCAGGTGTTTGAGACTACCCTGGGCAACACAGTGAAACCTGTTCCTACTGAAGTATAAAAAATGAGCCAGGTGTGGCAGCCTGCATGTATAATCCCAGCCACTTGGGAAGCTGAAAGGAGAGAGAAATGCTTGAACCTGAGAGGCAGAGGTTGCAGTGAGCTGAGATCGCGCCACTGCACTCCAACCTGGGGTCTCAAAGAACAAAAAACAAATCAGCATTTTTCAGGAGAAAGTATGATTAGCTAGCAAACTCCAAATACTGTTGTCCAATTTGCAAGGCAGTCTGTACCATGATGATACTTTAGCATAGTCCCACTAAACCGTCAAATTACGTAACTCAATCATTCATTCGTTCAATAAATAAGTATGCATTAAATCTCTACTGTGCATAATTTTCCACTCACTGGAGACAGAGTAGTAAATAACACAATTAAAAAGGCCCTGCCCCATGGAGTGTATATGCCAGTGAGGAGAGACAATTAAAATACAAATAAATGACCATTTATATATTTCAATGCCAATTAAAGGTACAGAGGAAAATGAGGCAACTAAAAAAAGAGAGGGAACGGTAGAATGTTTCCAATTTTAAATAAGATAATCAGGAGCTGTGGGAAAGTATGACAATGTTTGAATGAAGGGGAAAGAAGCAATGAGGCAGGGGAAAGCAAACAGCCTTGTGTTTACAATGTGGCTCAGGCTAGAGAGACAGAATGAACATGTGAGGTGCTCCCGTCAAGTGACACAAGTGACAACTGTACTCGTCACTGTTAAATTCTGCTTTACTCACTAGTTTCTGAGCTTGGTAAGTCTGGGTTTTTGAATCTTCAATGCTGAATACCAGACACTGGTCCGTAACAAATTCACCAAGTCACTGAATGCCACTCGATGGGGCTTTTTGGGAAAAACCAAATGACTTCAGTCAACCCTCTCTACTCTTTGACAGCGGCGTGGAGGATAAACCAGAAACTGGTGAGGCTACAGAAAAGAGGGCTACCGACGACCCAACTGCCACCGTTCAGGAGGAAGTGAAGGCACTGGCTTCGGAGAAACGGCAGAGGCTGGACAAGGAAGCTGTGTACCAGTTCTCAGTGAGAAGTAGCAAGAAGAAAGAACAGAACAGAAGGAAAACAACAGCAGGTAAGAAGGAAGGAGGATGCAGTCGAAAGGGGCAGGGCAGCTTCCATCCGAGGGGAATGAGACGTGGTTATACAGGTAATTACCGCTCCCTGTGATTGACGAAACAAGCCCTTCATGTCATCAAATTTTCAGAAAGTGTTTCTTTAATCTGATGGACTCATAATTTAAACGCTGCAAAAATTCAACACATGCATACGAAACAAAGTATAAATGAGTATACCAAGAGTTCTAATCAAGGACTTTAAATCAAGGTGTGGAAATTAAAAGAGTACTTAGTATTCAGTCGTGATGCTTCTTTTCCGTTTAAAGCTCAGAAGAATAACATTTTAAAATATGCATCTCAAACAGTTAATAATCAAAGCATGGTTAGTATCCCGGGCAACATTTACTATACCTTTACGGAAAAAAACAGTTGAATACGACAAATGATCTTAACCATTCCACAAAATAAAGTGCTGTTTTTTTTTTTCAAAGATTTTAAATAAGGGCATAGCTGAGAAATGAAATCCATGTTTATTACCAAAAATGAGAATAGTATTAAAGTTATAAAACCCTGCTGTAAATATAAGTATAGTTGACACACAGGAAACATTTCAGGAGAAAATGTATCCAAGCACGTCTTGTGATTTTTCTTTCTCAAGAAAATGTTCAGCTACTTTTCTATGTCACATGTACAAAAAAAAAAAAAAAATTGAATTCATGAAATGTACTGAATATTTTATGAGCAAGTTTGAGAGTCGCTTACCCAGTATTGATGGAAATGATTTCAATCAGTGGATTCTTCCTAATCTTTGGCAAATCCAATCGTGCTCCCCCCAGCCGCTTTCCATTATCCTTCTTCTGACCCAGCAGTCTCACAGAGTGACCTTCAAATCAAGCACATAAATATACATTAGCAAGAGTCGCACACTTCACTGTAACTTAATGCTTTCAACAAATGTGTTCATTTAACTTCTTTTTGGGAGTGGGGGAAACAACACAGAGGAGTGAAGTGTGATCCTTTCAACTTAAGAAATACTGTCAAAGGCCGGGCGCAGTGGCTCACGCCTGTAATCCCAGCACTTTGGGATTTGCCGAGGAGAGCAGATCACGAGGTCAAGAGATCGAGACCATCCTGGCCAACATGGTGAAACCCCGTCTCTTAAAAAAAAAAAAAAAAGAAAAAGAAAAAAGAAATACTGTCAAAAGGAAAAACAGCAGCTGGACACAACAGCTCACAACTGCAATCCCAGCACTTTTGGGAGGCCAAGGCGAGTGGATCACCTGATCTCAGGAGTTTGAGACCAGCCTGGCTAACACGGTGAAACTCCATCTCTACTAAAATACAAAAACGAGCTGTGTATGGTGGTGGGTTCCTGTCATCCCAGCTACTTGGGAGGCTGAGGCATGAGAACAGTTTGAACCTGGGAGGCGGAGGTTGCAGTGAGTCAAGATGGCACCACTGAACTTCAGCCTGGGTGACAGAATGAGACTCTGTCTCAAAAAAAAGGAAAAACAGCTGTTGTCAAGGCTTACCTGCTTTGCTTATAATTGCACATATTTATTTTTCTCACAGATGAGAAACAGAATACCCTCAAAATATCATTTCTACCGGTAAAAACACTCTCTAGCATAGGCCAAATACGCATGTGCAACAGGAAGGCTTTGCTTGGGCACTGGGCCAACCTGCCACTACACTGCAGAAAAAATGAGTTAATAAAAAAAAAAAAAAAAGCAAAACCAGAGCATCTGCTCAAAGTAAACAACACACCAAAGAAGTAAATAATTAAAAAGCTGAGATAAAATTGCACTTTAGGGCTGGATGTTTTTAAACAAACAAAAAATTTTAACTTATTTTTACACAATGTCACAAAAGGAAATGAGATCACCACAACACGCTATTAAAATGTTGATAATTTTTTAATTTTGGTATCTCACACTTGTAGAAAAAGTGGAAGAATAGCATAAAAAAAATCCCATACCCTTCAGATTCAATTATTATTTTACCATTTTACTTTGTCATTTGTTCTTTCTATATAGACATATTGTATTTTGGGTTTTTCGGTTTTTTTTTTTTAAGTTTTTGTTTTGTTTAATAGACAGGGTCTTGCTTTGTTGCCTAGGCTGGTTTTAAAGTCCTTGGCTCAAGCAATCCTCCTGCCTCTGCCTCCCAAAGTGCTGGAATTACAGGCATGAGCCACTGCACCTGGCTTACACATACTGTTTTTATAACTTTACTGAGGTATACCCTATAGCCTATAAAATTCACAAATTATGAGAGTAAGAGTCAATAATTTTAAATACATTTATAAAGTTTGGGCCACGTGTGGTGGCTCACACCTGTAATCCCAGCACTTTGGGAGGGCAAGGCAGGCAGATTACTTGAGGCCAGGCATTGGAGAGCAGCCCAGCTAACATGGTGAAACCTCATCTCTACTAAAAATACACAAATTAGCTAGGTGTGGTGGCACGTACCTGTTGTCCCAGCTACTAGAGGGAGTGAGGCAAGAGAATCGCTTGAACCTGGGCAGCAAGGTTGCAGTAAGCCAGGATCGTGCCACTGCACTCAAGCCCGGGTGACAGAGCAAGTCTCCGTCTCAAAAAAAAAGTTTTACAGTAATCACAATACCTAAATTTTAGAACAGAAGATGTTAATGTTCTAAAATTGAATGGAATGACTAAATGGAACATCGCTCCAAAATAAGCATTTTTGGGGGTGATGTAAGTGCTCTAAAATTGAACTTATTAGAGTCTATCTCTATTCCTATACCAAATATAGGTTATTTTGTTAATCCATTGACCAGCTGATTGACATCTGAATTGTTTCCAGTTAACAGCTCCCATAAAAATGTTTCTGTCTACATTCACATACAAATTTTTGTATAAACTTATCTTCTATTTTCCTTGGTTATATTCCTACGAGTAGAACTGGTAGATCATGTGGTAAATTTATATTTAACATTTGAAGAAACAACTGTATACCAAGGTAGTCATACCATTTTATATTCCCACCAGCAATGCATGAGGTTTTGAGTTTCTTCACATCCTTGCCAATACTTAGCACTGTAACTTCTTTACACAACAACCATTCCAATGGGTGTGCAGTGGTATATGATTGTGGTTTGAATATGCATTTCCATAGTGAGGAATGATGTTGAGTACCTTTTCATGTGATCATTAGCCAGTGTATTTCTTATTCAGTAGAATGTTATGATGATTAGTTTTACATATCAACTTGATTGTGCCACACGGTATCCAGATATTTTGATATTATTCTGAATGTTTCTGAGAGTGTTTCAGATTAGATAACATTTGAATTGGTAGACTGCGTAAAGCAGATTGCCTTCCCAGTATGAATGGGCCTCATCCAACTAAATAAAGGTCTCCATTAAAAAAACAAACAGGTTAAGAGTGATCTCCTCCTGACTGACTGTACGAGCCAGAACATAGGTCCATTTCAGCCTTCAGACTCACACTGAAATATTGGCTCTTCCTGGGTCTCAAGCATGCCAGCTTGTGGGCTGTAACTTACACCACGGGCTCTCCTGGTTCTCAGGCCTTTGGACTCAGACAGGAACTACATACACATCAGCTCTCTGAGGTTTCCAGCTTGCTGAATGCAGATCTTGGGACTCCTCAGCCTCCATAATTGCATGTGCCAGCTGCTTACACTAAATCTCTTTCTATACATACACCCATTGGTCCCAACTAATAAAAAATGTCTACTCCAGTATTTTGCCAGTATTTTAATTACAGTATTTGTCTTACTAAGTTTTAAGAACTATCTACATATTATGGTTATAAGATCCTTATTAGATGTATCATTTATAAATATTTTCTCTCAGCCTGTGGCTTATATTTCCACTTTCATGATGGTGTATCTTGAAAAGTATATATTTTTTTCAATTTAATTAAGTTCAATTTACCCATTTTACGGCTTATGCTTTTGGTGTCACATCTAAGAACTCTTTAGCTATATTAAGGACATGGAGATTTCTCCTGTGTTTCCTTTCAAATGTTTTATTGTTTCTGTTCTTATATTTATTTCTAGAATTCTCTTTTATTTTTATGTACAATGAAGGTCTAAGTTCTTTTTTAATATGGATATGCAACTGTCCTGGTGCCATTTCCCTTCCTTCTTCCTCTTTCGTGCTACTGGCACACATATATGTATACAACTATGTATACATAGTTGTATACAGTAGTACTACTTATCCAGTGTTTTGCTTTTCATGGATTCAGTTAACCACAGTACAGTACAATAAGATATTTTGAGACATACAGAGAGACCCCATATTCACATAACTTTTATTACAGTGTATTATTATAATTATTCTATTTTCTTCCTATTGTTGGCAATTTCTTACTGTGCCGAATTTATGAACGAAGCTTTATCATAGGTATGTATATACAGGAAAAAACATAGTACATACAGGGTTTGGTACTCTCCACAGTTTCAGGCATCCACCAGGGATCTTGGAATGTAGCTCCCATGGTTAAAGGGACACTAAAGTAAAGCTAAAAATACAGTGCTATAATTACGTTTTATACCATGGCACTTTTTTCTTTTTTTCCATTTTGTTTTCTATGAGACAGGGTCTCCCTCTGTCACCCAGGCCGGAGTGCAGTGGCACAATCACCGCTCACTGCAGCCTTGACTTCCTGGGCTCAATTGATACTTCTGCCTCAACCTCCTGAGGAGCTAAGACTACAGGCAAGTGCCACCATGCTGAATTACTTTTTAAATTATTTTTGCAGAGACGGGGGTCTTGTCATGTTGCCCAAGCTGGTCTCAAACTCCTGGATTTAGATGATGTTCCTATCTTGGCCTCCCAAAGTGCTAGAATTAAAAGTATAAGTCACTGCACCTGACCTATATATATTTTTTTTAATAATAAAAATCTGAAAAATGTTTACCCATATAAATATCATTTCTAGCATTTTTCATGGCTCCTTAGAATCAAAGTTATCATCCAGTGCTTCTTCCTTTCTGCCTGACACACTTTTGATATTTCTTACAAGGCCCATTCCAGTTTCTGCTGCTTGTGCAGAAGAAACAACTTCTGGTCAACTCAAGGTATGTGGAGAGTTTCACAAGCCTCATATCACTATCTCAGCTCCCAGAATTCCCTGTTAAAACCCTGGCTATTTCATCTGTCCATTACTTGCACCAAACAGGTCAGTAACTTCAGTCCAGTGGAGCTGCAGACATCCCCTATTGCTTGCCATCAAAATCTCCACTGTACCTGACAGTTCTCCAAAGCCACTGAGCCGTCTTGGGAGCAGCACAGAAGCTGCTGGCTTTCATGGCCTGCTTTGCCCTTGCTGCAACCTTGCCCACCGAGGAGAGGAGGGAAAATGGAGCAGCCCCAGCATAAATACCACAGACTCACACTGTTTTTATTCAAAGTTCATTTTTTTTTCGTGATTAAACACTTCTCCGTTTGTTGAATGCTTTTCGCTGATTTCCAGAGTACTGACATGATTTTTTTTTCTGACTGCTTGTTCAGCTTTAGCATTGCTTTTGAGAAGGTTTGTTGACCTCCTCATGTCATAATAACAGAAGCATATCAAAGGCAACTTTTAAAAAGCAATCATTAAAATAATTTCAAATACATAACTAGTACAGGTAAAAGATTCTTAGCAGTTATATACATGTTTCATCGCCTGTCGTTTCAGAAAGCTTTACTGCTTAAGTATCTTCAGTACAACTTTTCACAACCAAAAGTAATAAAACCATCAGTCATAGCCTTTTTGCACTACTCACTTTACTAAGAAACATTTAGTACTTTATTCGTTCTGAAAATTTATGCTCTGATATAGAAACATGCTAAAGTCAAGCAAGCATTTGGCATGTCAGATCCCACAGATTTTCAAGATAAGTTAA